AGGTATTCCGATTTTAGATGTATCTGAGAATCACATATTTTAAAAACGGGATTATTTTCCTGAAGATCCATGGATTTCTGTCTAGTTCTAGTGCGTTCATTAAACAATAATTTAAAATTATACACTTGGGATCTGATTTCAGGCTTGTTTACTCTTTGACTTTCATCTACAGACTGTACTGTGTAACAAGCTTGTAGCGGCTGCAAACGTACATATTGAGATGGATGTGAGTTTTCATTCTCCATCGTTCCGATAAATCTTCCCATTTTCAAGGAATTTTGGTGAACTGTTAATAAATATGATCATGGGATAGGAAAATACATTTTGAGCACCATCAAGCGGATATCGTGTGTCGTCATAGTTCAGAACGGTTTTCGGACACGATAAGACGTGTTGGTCTTAATCTCTCTACGCCCGTTTCGTCTTTTAAGATCAGTACCTCAACGAAGACATGCAGTTACGATGGTAGCACATGATACTTATGACACTATGCGAGGTGGCTTTGAACTGCCCAGCCCACTGTTAGGTTTATTCTTGTACCGGTCTTCCATTACTCCTTTGTTATCCACTTGCCCCTAACTCAGCTTTAACATCTTTGATACTTTACAAATCGCATCATTTCTATCCTTAATCGGATGACTTGCATAAAGAGTTGCTTGACAACGATGACAAGAGTCATTGTTGTGGAAGAAACAGTCCCGGCTATAAATATCTACATTAATTTTCAATGGATATGGATATCATAGGTCACACATAGAAACCGATGTTACACATGCCAATTTTCTAGGCATATCTATTTTATGCGATGCTATCTTGTGACAAGGGAAAAGTGTTACTGTGTCCTAAAGTTTATGTAAACATGATTGAGAATGGTCCAGAGAAAATTTTTTCATGCAAAACTGTGACTTCAGTCATTTGCATACATATCATCTCAAGCGCTGTCATTTACTTTGGATTTGCAGTTAGGTCTAGTCTTCAATTTTCATACGTAAAACTTATTTCTATTTACAGTATTGTGCACGCTTTCGTTTTCATATAAGTTTACACGAGTTTAATACACTAGTTGTCATCTCTCAGGGATTCTTTTGATTCATCGTCCATCGTGCGACATTTGTGCCCTCTAGTGAACAGATGTCGTCGAATGACTTGATGTGTTTGCAGCTGTAGGCAGCACATGGTACAGTCTAAATTGGATTTTATCAACGTTTACAGCTGATTGCACGCCACATCCGTGTCCACCTTGGCAGGCCGTTGGCCACAATCACGTGCCTTCGGCCACGAGGTCGCCTTTTACAGCGTCCTTTTGCACCACACAGGCCTCTCCGTCATTTCCGTTCTTCTGTTAAGCTTACCGTTATACACTGGCCGGTCTACTATAATTAAGAACCAAATTGTCAGCTGTGGAGATATGCCCCAGGAGGCCGATCTCTTCAACAGGAACTTCCATCCAAGTGAAGGGGTACACAGAGAACCCAGCAACTATTACAAGGATGAACCTATCAACATGGGGCTAATCCCCCGTAGTATTTCAATGAAATATAATTCGTTTATGAAAGTTTGATTATGTATTTAATAAATTTTTCAAAGAACATGTGTCAGAATATGATTAGTTTATATAGAAAAAACATGTTGCAATGAAAGTTGATAATAAACGAAATACGATTTGCTTATATATAAAAAAATAGTAGAAACAATAAGACCGTGAAATATGATATGATAGATGGTTGTCTTCACATATATGTAACAAAAAAACTGTAATAAAAGTATCTCCATAAAAAAACAAATGATGATCATAACCAAAGTGGAAATGCAGTTCCTCCAAAAACACAGAGAGAATGACCTGGACACATGACACACGAAGGTCGAGACCATGTTCACTTTCTTGATTTCCTTTTTTCTCTACTGGAAATGAAGTTTTTGGATACAAAGAAGAAATAGAAAGAAGTCATATTTTTTAACTCACCATATGCGTCGAAATGCTCACTTTGAGCATTGTCACGATGTTCAAAATGGTGAGAAGCATTGATTTTCCATCCATGTGATGAATACGAAACGATAAGAATCTGTTGGACACCGATAAACATGATGTTACCATAAGAATCCAGGGTTCACATCCCAAAGTACAAGCTCGCCTAGCGCGAGATTTTGGACACTCGGATCTGGGTGTCGTAAATTCTTTTCTCCATTATTCCAGTGATGACACGACAAGAATTTGCGCAAAGTTCCTGCCGGTTGACGCTGTAGGGAATGTGGAAACACGAGCAGGCAGTTTCGTCAGATCAAGAACTTCGATTGAGCTCAGTCTAATGAATATTATAGAGAAAAAATATAAGCTTGTCCTTTTGCATAACCTTTGCCATCAAGTCACCAAGTGGTAGTCATCAACTCAATGGGGACAATTGGGGGTCAGAAAGAATTCCTTCCCGATGGAGCAGGGCCACTGTAACGTGGTTGTGGCCTTGACCCCTCCCTCTCCTACTAGTAAGGATCTGTATAGCGTATATATGTTGCTAGAATAGACTGAAATTGTAACTGGTTCACAAGTTGTGTTTTCTCTACGTAATTTCAACCTGTTAATAGCAAGAAAGCATGTTTGAACATCAAGAAGAAGTACAATGGACCCTTAACTATGACCTTTAAATACTCTCAAGATATGTTTTATAATATAAATTCAACTTTGGAAAGTTTAATTGATCACATTATTCTTGCTATCATTTACAATATAACATCATGGATATCATGGATATGGTCACGGAGAAGCATCCTCTGTAATGCTTTGAGTTGATGACATTTTGTGAAAAAATCAAATGAATGACCAACTTACACATTTTTAGTTTAGATACCTAGTCAATTTGAAGGAGGAGAAGTAGTAGTGCCTATTCAAGGTAAGGAATTTCGTTCAAAGTTTCATGGTCATTTTGATAAAATAAAAAAAACTATCATTACACCATCATATGAGACAATCATGAGTTAATTGATGTAATAGAGACAATTTGGGCAAACTAAAAACGTTGGAAATATCTCATTTGAGATACTTCTAGCTACCATAATAATCAATGAATTTTCTATATTGGTGTCAAACATCTTCAGTATCAGTTTTACCTTTAATGGTCATGATGTTACTATAAGATGACAATCTAGCAATGTATTAAAATTCTATAATACTGATATTTAGCTCAATATGAGTTCACAGAATACAGGAATCTTTTATGTTATTTGAATACCTAGATATTGGTCAACATAAACAAATTTGATATTATTGAAAACATGTATGCTACAGCTGAAAGGGTGGATATTGAATGAAAGCAATTTTGAAAGGAGCTTGTGAAAAAAGTCATGAGAATCTGAATAATCAAGTATCGGTAGCAGAAATATGAGTTTTGGAGGCATAATATGAGCATAGCTTGACTAAAAAATTACTGAAGTCAAAAGTATAATATTAAAAAAATATATATTAATTTTATAATTTAATGATTAATATTAATTTTTAATATTGTATATTTTAAGTTTCAAAAAAATACATAGATCAAATTTTGTTGAAATGTGAATGCATTATGTATGTGCAAAACATACTCCAACAATTCCTGAAAAAAAGCTATTTTCTTGTTAAATACTAGGTTAATTTTCAAAACATCAATTCTGCTCTAATGTAAAATCATGTGAATGAAATAAAGAATATATATTGATACATATATAAATCATAACAACCTCACAATTTCTTCATATGCTGATTGCAATACATATGCACAACTATATTATCAAGATTGAATATAATTGACGTCAAATTATTGTAATATAAATCTAATAGTGTGGTCACAAAATATTATTTGCAATATAGATTGATTTAATTTCACACATTTTTGTGAACAAAAAGAATCAACCTAAAGTTCAACATAAAAAATTACTTAAAAAATATTTAAACTAATTTTTACAAAAATTTATGTAACATTCAAAAATTTATTGAAACTCCTAGTTTTTTTAAATGAATTAAGACTTGAAATCCATTTTTTTTCCATTTTCAAGTATATTTACAGTTTAAATTTTTCCAAAATAATTTAAATAATCATCATGTGATTTAAAAAAAACTCTTTATTACATATTATAGTTTTGTATATCACAAGCAAGGATACTTGCTTGTGATTTGACAATATGCAATTGATACATTTAAATTTGTAATAACTCAATCTATTCTTTAATTGACTTGTGTGCAAATAAAAAAATTAGAAAATTTCGTTTGCCGTATATTTTAGCTGTCAGTTTAGGTGACAACATTGAACAGATAAGTAGTGGACAAATCACTATGAACTTCAGACAATGTACAAATTCAAAGTATGAAAAATCTGAACACATATGTTGAAACTAGCATTCTCAGTACCGTAAGCCTAATCTCGATCCTCGTCCTGAAACCTTACAACATGAAAGGCTTTTAGAGTAGAATTGAGATGAACAGCGTTTGTCAGTAGATACTTCCGATTCTGACATCACCATGATTAGATCTCTAATGCAAAAGGTAGTATCGGTGGAAGCACCGTTCACATGCTGTCGATGTACGGCTGCTGTGAGCTGATGGACATTCAGATCTGTACATAATTCGCTTGACGATCTCTCAGTTCAAAAGGTTTTAGATGTCAATTCGGTAAAGATCCCTCCCACGTGATGTGACGCCAGAGGTCCAAAGCGTGCAGGCCAGACAAGGCGAGCGCGATGCGAGCTAGTGAGATGATGATTCAACCGATAATTCAACCACTGCAACAAAAGGTGAGGGTTTAAGGCATGGACCGTCCCGAACTCGGATTTTACGCTACTCAAATAGGTCGTCCACTATTTCAACATGGCCACATGTTTCAGTCACAAATTACCGGTAAACAGTCACGTAAGTTCAACGTGGGCTGCTGTCCGCAGAACCCAGATGAGCTTCATGTCACGAGCACGCATTATACAGTAGTCCTCACTTTAGAGAGCTCCGTCAAGGTCAAAGCAAATCGATATACACATTGTTGCCCGTACAGGAAAAGTGTTTATTGCATAAACTGCATCGGATGTAAACCAAACCGATTATTCTGCTGTTTCTACTTTGTACAGAAGTTTAATACACTCTTCTCCGTCGTGGACAGTCGGGCCCACGACAAGAGCTTCAATAATACAAATGTCGACAAATACGCTTCTGACTACATAGCGTTTCTTTATACTGCATTGTTATGATTCAAATAAAGTGATGACGAAAAGTGAGTGAAGATGACGATATCCGGCCTTCCGAGCCTTTGGGTCCTACTCTCTGTATACGGTTAATACACGAACACAGCCAGAGGAACGACTGTAACTCTGTCTCACTTTCATTTACACCTATGACTCAGTCGCGCTGCAATCGATTTTTCCGATGCTTTGGAGGAGGAGGAGGAGGAAAATGATGATGGTAATGGTATCTACATTGTCAAAGCTCAAATACACCGAGTCGAGGTATACCTGATGTCATTAAGACTAGGCTAGAATTTTCCAGTGTGACTAGTTCATACTAGTACAGGAGGTGGGTGGTTGTCTGAATCGTGTTTATGGTGAGTGGAGATTTTGAGTCATTGTTGAATCTTCCTGTCCCAACTTGGCTGGAGAACCCACCTCCCGCACGAGGTCGTCTTTAATATTAAAAAGCAAGAACGAGACGAGACGGTGGTGGGGTGATGATGCTCCTGAGCAGCAGGAGTGCGTGCAGACTTCGGTGATGAAGTTGTTGGAACTTCGTGTGCAAGGTAGACCCTCTTGTGTGGCCGACTACACTACGTCGTTGAGGTTGGGTTGGATAGTTGACGATCTGTGACGACTGTGACCCAGAGGCTGCGATAAGCCGACCTGCTTTGCATCATACTGTTGCACGACGAGAATGGAAGCCCGAATTTGATTCGAGGTGAGAATCTCTCCCACCGGGCCAAGCTCGGGGAATTCCGCATGCTGGCGGACAGCTCCAGCTGCCAGGACTGCAAGAAGAGTCGATGGCCGCCTCGCCCGACCCACGAGGATGAAATCGTACTCGCTGGAGACGGCCAGAGTCGTGATTCCTTCCGTGAGATCGGCGATAGGAATCTCCTCGTAGGTAAGGAATTCGTCTCCGGTTTCCACCTTGGGCAGTCGGATTGCGTCGAGAGCCGCCTCGTCCAGAGTCCTCTCGGATTCAGACTCGCCCTCGAAGTCCATGAAGAAGCGACTGGACTGACGAAGAGAGCTTCTGGCGACCGTGGCATGGCCCTCGCCTGCCTCCGCCGACGACGAGTAGCCCTTGGGCGCATTGCGGTGCAGGTCGTCGGGCAGACCACTCACGAAGCGGATGACTTTGAGCGACACGCCCGTATGCTGAGCGATTTGCATGCCGAAGGCGAGCGCTTCTCGATCGTCGGGGCCGCCGAAGAAGAGAATGACGCAGTTGTGGCGGACGCTGGCGGGGGCGATTTGCGCAGCGCCTCCCAGGCCTCGGTCGAGGACCATGGCCACTGAGCACGGCGCATGCTGCAGCACCTTGCGGTTCACGGCTCGAATGTCCGGGTTCGACTTCGCTCCGGCGTCCGTGAGATTCTTATGGAACGGGATGAGGATCATCGCCGCTCGCTTGTCTTCGGCCGTGGAGCAAATGTCTTCGTGCATGTTCTCGTAGCCTGAGATGGCAGTCATGGGGCGCACCACCACTTTGCTCAACTGGCCGAACGCTTCGAACGCCACGACGATGTTGTCGGTCCTGCCTTGACCGCCTGCCTCGAAGAATGGCCGTCCGTCTCGGCGAGCTCGCTGCACCATCATCATGGCGGACGATCGCTCCGAGAGCTCCATCAAGTGCAGGATGTACAGTCGGAGCGTGCGAATGCTCTGCCCTCTCACCAGCTCCGTGAGATTGATCATTCCCGGTACGTGGCTGATTCCATTTACACAACCCAGAATGCGTAGTTCGTCCTTGGATGCATCCATGAACAGCTGCCTGCGGTTGTACGGCTTCACATCTCTGGCCGGCTTGTAGATCGCCATAACGATTGGTGTCGTCATGAAAGTGGTCACTAATGCCATCAGAACCATTATTGCGAATACCTCGTCATTCAGCACCTGCATGAGTACGAAGTTTGTGCTCAATTAGCTGCATGCGCACGATGAATCTCGTATGGGAAGGGGTTGATTTTATTCGAGTATGTTCGTAAAGACATTGAGCATTGATTCTGAGCAGAAGATTTTCCTACATTAGGCTGCACTTTCGATGGACATGCGGTTGGGAACGCCGCTTGTAGATGCCAATTGATGATACATTCATGCGAGATATGAAGATAACTCACCCCTTTGTCTTTACCGATGTTGAGGACGATGAGCTCCACCAATCCCTTCGTGTTCATGAGCACTCCCAGAGTCATGGACTTTCGAACATCTCGAGTGAAGTAGTAGGACACTCCAAATACACCGCTAATTTTTCCAACACATGCTACTGCAATGACGAGAACGAGAAGGCCCCACGATTGTGCACCGGCTATGGTGGCGACGTTGGTCTTGAGTCCACTGGAGGCAAAGTAGAGGGGCAACATGAGCACCGATACGAAGTCCTCTAATTTCTCGGACAGGTCTGTTGCAAATCGTCCCTCTTTCGGTATGACAAGGCCGAAAACAAAGGCACCGAAAATTGCATGAATTCCTATAGCGTCGGTTGTGAATCCGGCTACGAGAACTCCAGCGAAGGTGAGGCAGATGAAAGTCTCCTTGATTGGCTCGTCCTCGGGTGTCATTCGGGTGATGTAGCGCATCAGAGGACTCGTTACCACGAACATGAAAATCACGTAGGCGACTCCGCACAGGAGGACCCAAATGGCAACCGTGGGGCTTTTCTTCTGGCCAGAGAGCGCGACTGCAAGGGCTAGAAGCACCCAGGCACACACATCGTCCACTGCAGCCGCAGACATGGCGAGCTGTCCCACGTCCGTTGTCAAAAGCTTCCGCTCAGCGAGAATTCGTGCCAACACTGGGAACGCGGTGATGGACATCGCCACCCCCATGAAGACCAGAAATGGCAGAAAATCTCCGTCTCCCGCAATGGTATGATGGAGTACGAATGATACTCCAACTCCTGCTACGAAAGGTATGGCGATACCAGCTGCTGAAATCACAAACGCTTGCTTTCCGACCCTTCGTAGTACCTTCAAATCCAACTCGAGTCCCACCATGAACAAGAAGAATAAGAGCCCCATGTTGGCCACCGTGTCCAGTACAGTCAAGCTAGGCTTCGGAAAAATCGACGCCAGATAGTGTGCATTTCGGCCCAGTGCTGACGGTCCCAGAAGAATACCACCCTGTAATGGCAATACGCATGACACATCCACATTATTTTCAGAACCGTGACAGCTGCTGACAGGCTTGAACTTGCAAACAACATTACATTTCCTACATATGGCACTGTGATTGTTAGCTCGTGAGCAGTCTTCAAAAACATCATGAGTTCACAACTCTGTCATTTCTAAGCGGAGAGAGTTTCGGTTTGATGGAAAAATCTTATACGAACATCTTCTTAGTAACTTGAAAGAAGCATACGGAGTCTCTCTACAAGATAAGACTACAATGTATAAACCCACTGTACGTGCAGATCCAAAATTCAGTTCGTACATCAAACATACAAATGAACAATCATACCGAATCCTTGGTCAGCTTCAGAAAAAGTAATCAGAAGTGTACACGTGCTCTCTAGTGAACCGGACTTTAACGACGGCACTTTGAATCTAAAACTAAACTTTGTCATCTCCGTGCAGGACCTACAACAATCGATGCTAAGAAATCTGCAAGTCTAGAAACTTTTGACGAGCTATGATTGAGTAAGCTCATTGAGCGGGCCGTAGCAACCCATGTTAAGGGTTGCATTTACGTGCGGATCGAGGGACTCAAAGTCAACACAATGAGCAGCTGACCGCAGGCTACTCAACAATCGTCCTATCAAAGCTGAATGTGTGTCTGCCAGGAAGTCTGCTGACACAAATCTGAGCGTCTGCCAAGCTTTTTCTGAACAGAGAATCTTCTAATCGACAGCTTGGCGACCAATCATCTGCTGTAGGTGCCACTCACTGGGCCCCCCTCATGCTTTCATTTCCAAAAGACACTCCAACAACACAAAATTGCTGACAACGCTCGACTTTTGTCAGCACACCACTACCTCATCACTCACGCAGATCTAGACAGTCGAGACATTCCCAAGACCTCCTTTAGACGTCTTAGGATGCGACCTAAAAGGCACTTCACATGATCAAGTTTCGCCACTGAATGACACTAAGCTCAATGAGAAATTGACAGTAGAAGATCAATGAGGAGATTTAGAGAGGAGGTTCGAGAGCTTACGATAACTTCTGCGATCACCCGAGGTTGTCTCATAGGCTTCAAGAGCAGTGCCAGAGTTCGAGTGATAAACAACACCAAACAAATTTGGATGATGAGTAGAGGGAAAGCGAAATTGATGGGATTGTCTCCTTGCCAGACCCCATCGGATGTTGCTTTCATAGGCGAGGGACATTTTGGTAGAGTCGCGTTGGAAGCCATTGCAGCCCGAGTCGAGTATTCTATATCGATTCCCAATATTCTAACTCCCAAATTCACCCCCTTAAACCTCAGCCATGCTATCCCACACCAGCAGATCTCCCCGAAAGATCCCCGTTTTTCAGCCCTCCATTGTCTGTTCGGGACGTTCAGTCGTCCAGAGAATGTATCGAAAGATCGAACAGTCAATTTGAAAGGATGGTGGAAACAAAATGTATCCGTTCCATGGAGAATTACAACGTCCCGTGTTCCTCCATGTGTCCTTCACTCGTTGCTCGGGGCGACTGCCTTTGTCACTGAGGACCACGAATGTCGTCCCCTCTCAGGTCAGGTTCGAATGCCTCGCCCAAGGTGAACTGCGCCCTCCTTCTGCCTCCAAGCTCCTCCCCTTATAAGCACCCGCAACCCCGACCGCCAACCCCACGCCCGTCACCCGCTGTACGACGGGGGCCTTTCCATCCTGGATTGACCTCGCACTGCAGTTGACTTACGGAAAGCCGAGCTGCCCAAAATCATCCACCATCATCAATGACTTCGTCCTTGCCCAGTTCAGACTTTTCCTCGACCCCAATATTCTCCAAGTGGAAGACCATGGCAGCCGGACAGACCCACTAGCGCAGCAATGAATCTGGATATAATTTAAGATTTGAGAGCTTTCAAGATTCTCAGTTCCGGAAAATGCGTGGCACAATTAGTCGGGCGGCCTATTGAACTCTCCAAAATACTGGCAAGGATCGAGCGGCTGCCGTGGGCTGGAATCGCTGGATGCGCTCAGCGCACCAGGGAACATTCGCTTATTTACAGGCAACCGAGAAGGGAGGATTAGAATACATTACTGCATTAGTGAACCACTGCTGCTGATCAAGATGGCCTGGAGGAAACACGTGACGGTTGCAATTTCCGCGAAGGTGTGGGAATCTGCCATGGATGTGTTTCTTCAGGCCAAAGAAAGCAACAGTCGGGTCTACATACATTGCATCGACGGAATTAGACTCTGGATTGGATTCGCATATCGCTTAATCCAGTCCACATGCAGCAGTCTCGTCCGAATATTAAGCCAAGACGCAAAGCGCGTTCCTGTGCGGAAACTGCTTTGCGATAAACTCGGAGGCCTCCGAGGCCCCGGGACTAAGCCTTCGAGGTTTACATTCTATGTTTCTCGATTTTCTTACTTGGATCCCATCGCAGATTCACAGTCATGTGCATTCGCGAGAACCTGGCTACGATGTTGCAATCATTGCCTTGTACAAACAGTTTTGATGTCTCCAGCCTCTGAGAATACCACAACCTGCCGAGTTCGCTTCGTACTCCACTGTGATACGTGATTATATTCCTGTAGATTCTCTTCACTGCTTGCACCGAGCACCACGCCACCATGTCGCCCAGCTAGTTGGACACATTTTCCCACTGTTCTCAACCTACAGGCTTTCAATTGAGCTGTAGTTAGAGTTTACGTCAAATCAGTGTTCACCACAGTGATTATGATGAGATCAAGTAAATATCGCTTTTCCATGCAGAGCCACACATAAATAATCAATAAAGCACAATAAACTTCTAAGATTCACATACACTTCTGTACTTCACAAGAAGGAATTTGGTATATACTCACTGACGAACTTGGAATGTGCTTGGAACGTACCCCTGGCTCTATAACTCGGTGCCCCGGTTTGCACTTGGAAGATGCCCACGGAGAAGAGTTGTTGCATAGTTGCAGTAGACCGACACGTGACAATGCATGGTGGTTGTTAGTTGTGATTTTTTGTAACCTATGAAACAAGTCAAACCCAAGGTTCGGAGAAAGTGGAGAAGCAAGATCTGCTTAATATTGTGCATAATCAAAAAATCATACTCGCGACTCGTGATTTCTGAGTTCATTGCCTTGAATACAAACGATTCCGCTCTGAACTTCGATCTGTACAATCTTTCTGGGAAGAAGAAATGCGACAGAAGGCCACAGGGAGATCTTGGATTCCTGATTATTTCCGAGTTTGTTATAATTTCTCTGGTTTAGGACTTTTAAACACTTCAGTGACCTGGAGTTTATTGAGAGTTAGTGAGATATAGTGAGATTCGAGGATTGGAGCAAAATCGAGAGGAGAGTAGAGCCGAGGCGTACATCGAAGTACCGGTGGTGGGGCGGGACGGGCAATTCTGTCCCGATGTCGTGCGCATCTTTGGAGAAGCAAGCGCAGGGCAGCAGCTGCTCAGTTTTCTCGCGGGTGCCGGCGCTGGACCGATTCGGGGGAGGCAGCACCCATGATTTCGTTTCACTGGTGCTTCTGATGCGATGCGCTGCCCCGGCAGACCAGATCGGGAGTTAGTTGGACGGAGTGGCGCTTTGATTGTGCAAGCCTCCGGTGGTGTCCGTCCAAGCACATATCCGTCATGATCCATGGTTCATATCATCATGTGCTTCTCGGTGGAGAGTTAGCACTAGTTAATATTAAGTGAGAGCAAGTAATGATTCTTTTGGATAACTGGTACTTAACATTTGATGTATGATTCAATAACAATCACTATATTAACTGATATTAAAATTTATTTAGGGAACAGCTAGTCATCATTCACTTTTCGTTATTCATTTATTCATCAGTCACTCTCTATTTTAAAGAACCATTATTCATTTTTCTCGCGCTTCGATTTATTGGATGGAAATCACAGGCACGGGAGCCGCTAGTCAAGGTGTGAATTTAGACTCGCGCGTTCAGCCTTTAGACTAGCATAGATTATTTTGGTAACGACACATCAGACTAGCATATATTACTTTGGTAAATTTTTGGTAACGACACATCGTGATATAAGTGATGTTTTGAACGCGTTTTTCAACGATTTGAAAATTGTGGGTGAATACTGAATAGCGAAAAATGAATGGTGATTAGTGGCTCCTTTTATTTATCTTGATCTTAACATGTAATCTATTTCATATAATTTGTAAGTTTATTATATTTAAATTTATAAATGAATTAATAAAATTAATTAAAAAAACTTAACGTTTCTTTATATCAAAATTAATAAAAAATATTTTAAAAAATACTTTCACAAGTACTGCAACAGATATATAAGTATATCATGTTACAAATATACATGTCTAAATTTTGAATGGTATTCTATTGAATAAATTATGAAATTCAATATCTGACAACCTATGTGAATTTATAAAAAAATATAAACATGCTATATATAATATATATATGCTCTATTCATTCCCTTAACTAATTTTGTTGTTAATGATTCTAGAAATGTGCATATTTCGCTCGGTGGGCGTACTGTACTCTATCCTGGAAGCGTAGTCTGCGTTTCAGGGCTTTTTTGCTTTCTTTAATGTTACCGGTGTCTCTTATCCACAAGATTTCTATGAAACTGTCTAGTAGTCATGTATCCAGTATTTATGTTAGTGGTTTAATTTTGTTTTTAGGCTTCAATTTTTATTTTATTTTTACAATATTTTTCTCACACAAGGTCAATCTTCAGGCATGCATATACATATCCTCGTGCACAAGACCCAATTTGACCGCCAACTTACCAAAGAGATTCAAAATATAGCATTTTCAATATTAACTTTTGATCTCTCGTACCGGAATGTGATTTGAGACACGATTGGTCTTGGCATGACTTGGTGGGCAAAAGATCATTTATGTATAGCACAGTTTCTTGAAATCTTGTAATAAAGTCAACATGTAGAAATATAATTTACCTGTCAGACATTCATGATATTTTTTAATTAAAAATAATACAAACCTACATGTCTATTAATGTACACTATCTTTTTGTAAAAAAAATTTCTTATCATTGTGAACAAACATATGAAATGATAAACATTTATTTTTTGTTTTCTTCAAATTTTAATTGATTTTATATTTTTATTTCAAATTTGCATTTATAAACGTCACATAAACAGTTGATCAACATAAAAACCTAGAAAAATGAGACAAAAATCTGTCTTCTTTTATGTATTCATAAAGATCAACACAATTTATAAATTTTGTGTGTTTCATACACAACTTCACCATATATTGCATTGAATTGCCTCTGAAGTTGTTCAATTGACATAAATATCTCAATAATTTACCTGGAATATATTCATGCAACTATTTCTTCGAAGACTAATATATATTTGTTCTGAAAACATTCAAATTATCCATATTTAGATTAAATTTTGTGGCGTGTACATACGTTAGTCAAATCTCAACACACTTTGATGTAGGTAAAAAAATATATTATAATCCACAACTTTTGCTTGTGTGAAATCCTGAGCCATCAATTTGAAGTTAGTGTTATCATGTGACAAAAAAAATTTGTAATTGTACACATTTTTTTGATAAAAATATTGCTTTGATATATGTTCTTAAATCTTATCTTCAACTTGTGCTTTCATCTCAAATTTTACATAAACATGTCACTTAACTTAATCAAAATGGCTGAATTTTTTACCTTTACTCAGAATAAATTTATTGTCATTATCATTCATTTCAATATCATGATACTTGTATTAAATATCTTAATCGATTCAAATTTCAGATACTTCAATTAAATTAACTAATATGACTTGGAGATTTTATAATATATTATATTCATTTATATCAAATGATTTATTTTTTTTTAATCTCACCAATAATAATTTGCTTCATTTATTTGTCTAAAATGTACTCTACATACTTTTACTTATCTTACAACACTAATATAATCTAATCAATACTTTGAATTTATTTTTATTGGTCTGAAATTTAAAGTTTCGTTATTTTTTATTCTTAAAATTATATGTTCAATAAAAATCACCTTACAATAATATAGATTACATACATTCTAGCCTTCCAAGCACTCACATTTTGTTTTATTTTTTTATTCAATTTTTTTAAAATTTTCACCTTAAATTCACATCTTTCGCTCAATTAAAAATTTATTGCATGAATTTAGAAAAAGAGAGTTCTAGTATATTGAATATTGCAAGATTTAAAGTATAGTATCTAATTTTCTTGACATTTCATAAATAACTAATATTTTTCATTATCATGAATAAGATTGAAGATATATAACATATGATATGTTGATGATACTAAATAAGATATGAATAAAATGAAGTTTCAAATTCTAAGATATGTATGTAGATTTGTTTATTTATTTTTAAAAATAAAAAAATTTCAGCCTACATTTGAAACCTAAAATAAGTTTTTATGATAAATATGACTTTCAATATTTTAATGATTTTTTTAAATATATGAATATTTTCATAGAACCCCAGAATAAAAACATTGAAACATTGTAGCATCATACTAAGATTAGAATTTAGAGATAAATTTTAGTTCAAAATAAATTCATTAATTCTGTTCAATTGTGTAGGAAATTAAAATTTGGAAATGTTAACGTACTTATCCACTTGAAATAAATAACTTTTAATTAGAAATTAAATTAAAAGTTAAAGTGTAATTAACGTACAATAATTTTCTTTTAGAATAAAATTATGTTTATGCAATACAAAATGATAATTTTGCTACATGAAAT